GTTTTGTGCATGTCTGTACGACATTAAGGTTCCATCAGGGTACGCATCTAACATGAAAATATTTGTATCTTTAAATGGAGAATTCAAGCTGACAAGTATGAAATCCCATGATTGTCATCTTATGATGTAAGTATTTCTACCAATTGCAATACGTGGTATTTTACCGAAGCACGTGAGGGAACCTATTACAAGTCTCTGTTCGTTTTTCAGTATAATATGCAGTAAAGTGCAAAATAAAGTCAGGAATCGGGCTCACCCGGAAGGAAGTATGATTCAAGGGACCGTGGGTGAGGAGATTGGTAATTTTGTGGCCGACTATATAGCCGTTGCTGAACCTATTGGTCTTCCTACTTCTCGACATGAAGGGAGACTTGATGGTCATGGCACAATCGGGTCGAAACGAATGTCACCTGACCGAGATAAGTTCTTACAAGCACATCTATATGTTGCACCATGTTGCAGATGTTCACCCATATTTAGACGAGCACATGGCTTGTTTGCGTGATGAATTTCCATCGAAAGGTGAAAGGGCACTAATGCAGTTGCATAAAAAGAGGTTTGTGAGTTGGTTTTGTGATCGAGTGATGGGTCGATTGGATGAGAGTGTCACTGGTACAGTAAGGTGGCTTGCTTAAGGTCCTAGGATGATGTTCGCTCATTTGAAGGATATGACATAAATGGGTACACTTTTGGACTGAGTGTCAGGATTTGATATCTTCCTCGACCTAAAACAGTGGTGTAACGCTTGTGGCATCGTCAAGGGAGTTTGCAAGTGCTAAAGGATAAATCACCCGTTGATGTAGAGTTGTCATACTATGGTAGAATTCAAGAAATATGGGAGCTTGATTATTGTAACTTCACGGTTGCTCTTTTCCGGTGTAAGTGGGTTGATAAAATATTCAGGCCTAACGTCAAATATGATGACTTTACTCTTGTAGATCTTGGCCACGCTGAACGTAGTGCGGAACCATTCATCCTTGCATCTCAAGCTAAGGCAAGTGTTTTACGTAACTGACCCAGCTTATTCAAAATGGTCTATTATGCTAGCCGGCAAAAGAAGAATCCTAGGCATTGGAGATGTCGAGAAATGAGGAAGAATATGATGCGTTTGATGACTCGGCACCTTTCACTGTTCCTAGACCTGTTGTACCAAATGACATAGACGACCAAGCCAATTATATGCAATCAGACCACAACGAAGGAATATTAGATTGAGGTACAATACGTGGTATTTTGAAATTGTAGCGTTGAAAGTATTATTAAATCACAGGTTAGGTGAAAATGAATGAAAGTGTTAACTTACTTGCCCATTTTTCACATTTTCTTTTAAAATGAATGAAGTAACTTTTAAAACATGTGAAATCTGGAATAAAAACTACCTTACACTTGCCCAATTTCTATGTTGATTTTGTATTATAATTCAGCAATTTATATTTGGTTATAACTTTACCTTACAAATTTATTTATATTACAACTAATAAACGTGTTATGTTTGTAATGGCAGGTGTTTACATCTCATGGCGGACGATCAGGACCGTAACCGTGTCGAGGATATAGAGGATGATGATGATGATGATTTCTCTGAGGATGAAAATGAGCTGTATGATGTGAACAAGGAGCCTGATTTGGTGAGGGCGGAAGATCAGGCTCAGGTTGAGTTAGAGTGTAGGCTTGATGAATTTGAAATTTCAGCTGAACAAGCGCCTCTTATTGAAAATACAGTTTCTGAGACGTTTGGTGAGAATCCTACTTCCCACACTCAAAGCCGAGGACAAAGTGGATGGAGGTGAAGGAACCGGCTAAAAAAAAAGGTGAGAGGCCCGACGACAAGTTTCAAGAAAACTCGTTAGTCCCATGGTCTTGGAGTATGACAAGGCAAAACCAACCTACAGGAAAATGACGTCATCAATATGATGTTCATGTTGCCATTTGTGCGCGTAAAAAATCCCCATTACTCTTGGTTGGCCGGGAAGTATCTCCAGGCTTGATTGACACATTTTGGAATGATACAAGGCAAGTGTTTTCTTTGCACCTTTACACAATATTAAAAACCTTCACTTTATTGTTATTTAAAAGGGGAAACTAATAATCGCTTTATTTGTGGTTGCAGAGTCTGTTTAATATTCCTAATGATGCCGCCAAGCGAAGGGTGTTTGAATCTTTACCAGCGGAAAGATTCAGAGGCTTCAAGACCACCTTAGTTAGTGGGTGGATCACAAAGACAGTTGTGAGATAACCAAAGAACAAGAAAGGAGGTGGCAATGATGATGAAGTCATTGAGAAGAGCAAACTCCCATGGCAAAAAATGGCCAAACGTATCGAAGGATGATTGGGAAGCTTTCGTTCTTCAAATAAGTAAAAAGGAAGCAAATTGTAAGTTAAAGTAAATCTGATGGCAATTGTATAATATATTAACTCTTTTTGAAGTAATGATACTAACATTTCTAATTATGTAGGAACTGAGGGACCAAAATTCTAAAAATGCATTGCAGAGGCAATACACCCATCGCATGGGGTGTAAGACATTTGGTGAATGGAGGGAAACGTGGGTCAAGGAGGGAGTATACCCCACTGCCTTCTAGGGTCCTCCAAAGAACCTTACTGATTCCACGATCACTACATTGGTGAGTCGTGCTGGAGATTTCATTTGCTCTCTACATGCGCGTGACAAAGGAAACCGGAAAATGGGTCATCAAGGCTCCGAAAACCATAGAAATGGCAGATAAACTCGTAAACATCTATGAACTTGTGAACTTTATGAAGCCTTTGCATAAAGATCACTTTACAAAAACATTAACTATATTCATGTTGCCGTGATAAGCCTTCTTATCAAGGTTTGAGAGAAGCGTTTTAGGGTGTGTTTTGATGCTTTGCATGGGTTTTTAATAGCTTTTGTGAGTTTTGGGCGGTGATCTCACTTATGTACAAAAGACGGGATTTATGAGTGTTAGTGAGTGAGTGAGCTCGGGAACCAATGAGGAGAAATATGAAGGATGGACCTTGGCTCGTGGCTCGAGAGTTGTGATGGAGCATGGAAGAGCAAGGAGGAAAGCTTGAGGAAAAGGTGAAGCAAAGCAAGAAGAGGAAGCAAGGAAGGAAGGCAAAAAAAGCAGGAACCGCTGCCAGGGCCGCTGGCAGCTGGCCAGAGCCGCTGGCAGCGGGTCAGCCAGAGGAGAGAAGGCGTTTTGCTGCCTTAGCCGCTGCCAGCGGGTCCAGAGCAGCTGGCAGCGGCTCGTCCAGATTTTCGAGTGTTTTGGCTTTTTTTCAGCAATTTTTGCTTCCCTTGGCTCGTGTTTTGGATATTATTTTATTATTATTATTGTTTTATGTTATTAGAATATAGAAACATATAAATAGCTTAGTTTTAATTAAGTTTTAAAGGGAGTTAATGAGAATTAAGTTTTTGAGAAGCAAAAGCTTTCTAGGGTTTCTTTACAATTTTCAGAAATCTTTGTTTTGAGAATTAGACTCCATGGAAGCTTAATCTTCCGGATTCTTGGTTAAAGATTGAAGCTTTTGGCTACGAATTGTAAGATCTTTCTTCTCTTAATATCTATGAATATATATTGTTCCTTGAATTAATTTCATGATTTTCTTTAGTCAATTGCTAGGTTAGAATTGTTAGATTCGCTTGCGTCTAATTGAATCTTTCCAAAGTAGCAACTTTAGATTATGAATGCATGCTTTTGGTTTATAATTTAAGAAGGAATATTATTATTGAAGAAATTAGACCGCTTGTGTTAATTTATTCAATCCTTGTTGATTTCTCCGTTTATTTTCTTCTTGTGGATAATTTAGAGCGCTTGTCTTGAATTGTGCATTGGAAAGGGTTAGAGAGGAGCGCTTTGCTATTTCTAACTAATTATGAGAATATAGAATCTAGAATTCTACAACAAGGTGTTCAATAGTGTTTGATTGAAGGGATTTCCATGATCAATTTGTATGTTCATTAGTGGATTTCGCATAACCAAGACCGTCCTCCTCATTGATTACCTATTCATTACGTTCGTTGTTCTTACTTAGTTCATTCGTCATCATTACTCGTGAAAACCCCCCTTGTTACTTAGGTTACTACATTCCTAGAATAATTCCACTTAGGTTTCCAATCATTAGTCCCTTTTTCCCTGTGGATTCGAACTCGACTTCCCTAACTACGTTTATTTGCAGTTAGCTTAGTTGTGATATTTTTGGTTGCATACGACTAAGGCATCACCAAATTTTGGCGCCGTTGCCGGGGAACTAGGCGTTACTTTTTAATTGTTTATCTTAGTAGAATTTATTTTAGATTGTTCTTAGTTACTCTCTTTGTTTGTTCTCTAGGGTAATGATAAGTACCCGTTCTGCTAACAAAGAAGTTTTGCAGTTTGATCCAGAAATTGAAAGAAATATTTCCAGGTTGCGAAAAGAGCAAGAACAACCCCCAGTGAATCAACATACACCTTCAATATTCAAGAAGAAGAGGAGATGGCTGACAATCGAACTCTAAGGGAACTTACAGCCCCTAACTTGAACCAACAGCCGTTGTGCATTGCATATCAGCAGTTGGAGGAAGGTACTAATGTTGAGATCAAATCTGGTCTAATACATCTATTGCCGGCATTCCATGCATGAAGGGTGAAGATCCGAATAAACATCTGGCAGAATTTCATGTGGTATGCACCAGCATGAAACCGATTGGGATGACTAACGAGCAAATTCAGTTGAGAGCATTTCCTTTCTCTCTCAAGGATGCAGCGAAGGATTGGTTTTACTATCTTCCCCCAGGTAGCATAACAAATTGGGCAGATTTGAAGAAGTGTTTCCTTGAGAAGTACTACCCAGCCACTATTTCTGCGAGCCTTAAGAAAGCTATCAGCAATGTGGATCAGAAGGAAGATGAATCCTTGTATGAGTATTGGGAGAGATTTAAGAGATTGTGTGCTAGTTGTCCTTACCATGGGTATTCCGATCAAGACCTCATCCTATACTTCTATGGAGGTCTAACTGATGATGACTTGAGGATGGTGAATGCAGCAAGTGGAGGAGGGCTAGTGAATAAAACTCCAGGAGATGCAACTAGGCTGATTGCAGAGCTAGCAGAGAATTCTAGGCAATTCAGTCAGAGAACTCCCACGCGCCGGGTGAATGCAGCAAATTCAAATACGTCTGAGTTAGAAAGTCAAGTAGCTGATTTGACTTCTATGATGCGTGAGTTCATGGTGAACTCAAGGAATCCGCAGCAACTGAATTCTTGTGGTATATGCACCTCCATGGGACATCCCACTGATGCATGTCCTCAATTACAAGAGGAGCAGAATGAGCAAGCAAATGCAATGGGTTTCCAAGGGCAAGGTCCTCAGAGAAGTTATGATCCCTATTCAAATACATACAATCCAGGATGGAGGGATCATCCAAATTTGAGATATGGGAACTCCCAAGGGAACCAACAACAACAAAATGCTCAAGGCCAGCAACAGTATCAGCAATATAGGGCACCATTACCCAAACCTCAAGGCCAAAGCTCAAATTCGAATAATATGTCAACTGAAGAAATGATTAGATCACTAACTTCTAATGTATCTACTATGCAGCAAAACATGGTGCAATTTCAGCAAGAAACCAAATCCAGTATTCAGAATTTGGAGAATCAAGTGAGTCAAATCTCAAGTGCGGTGAGCAGACTTGAAGCTAAGGATTCGGGAAAACTTCCATCTCAAACGGAGTTGAATCCTAAGCAACAAGCCAACGCGATTACACTGAGGAGTGTCAAAGAGCTGAAAGAGACTGAAATTGCAACCAAGAGGGCTGAAGACTTGATTGGAGCTGACGAGGAGGAAGTGGAACATGAAGCTGTTGCAAACCCTTTAACTTTTCCCTCTTATGAACCCACACCACCTTTCCCTGAAGCGTTGAAAGAGACGAAAAGGTACGAAAAAGACAAAGATATCTATGAAACATTCAGCAAATGTGAGGTAAACATTCCCCTTTTGAATTTAATAAAAAGTGTTCCTAGATTTGCTAAATTTATGAAAGAGCTTTGTACTATAAAGAGGAAGCACAAGTTGGGAGGAAAAGAAAAAGTGAAAGTGAGTGCTCATGTTTCTGCAGTCTTTCAGAAGAAGCTCCCTGAAAAATGCAGTGATCCTGGTATGTTTACTGTCCCAGTTACAATAGGGGACACCACATTTCATAGACCTATGTTGGATTTAGGTGCTTCAATCAATGTTATTCCATATTCCCTTTTCAAATCTTTAGAACTTGGGCCCTTGCATGAAACTGGGGTAGTGATTCAGTTAGCTGATAGGTCCAATGTTTACCCTAAGGGAGTAGTGGAAGATGTGCTTGTGAAAGTTGATGAACTAATCTTTCCTGCTGATTTTTATGTGCTTGATATGGAACATGATAGACAAGCAGTTCCCATCTTGTTAGGAAGACCCTTCTTGAAAACTGCTAGGACAAAAATTGATGTTTTTACTGGTTCTTTAACTATGGAGTTTGATGGGCAAGAAATTGTGTATAACATCTATGATTCCATGAAATATCCTGTTGACACTCATTCCTTGTGTTCCATTGATATCATTGATCCTATAGTGTAGGATGTCTTCAATGTTGAGGGCGAGGATGCGCTCCTCACTTCCATTTCTAATGATTTATCTGCTGATTGTTTGGATATTCCTTTGCCAAATAGTGTGCAGATGATCACTAGTAGAAAAAAACCAAATTGGAAGCCAATAATTGGAAGCGGTTTATCAAATCCGCTTCCAATTCCTTACAAATACCCGCCCAAATTTGTTTTTTAAAAAAAAAGGAAGAATTGGAAGCGGTTTAGGTTGAACCGCTTCCAAAAACCAATTTGAAGCGGTTTAGGCTGAACCGCTTCCCTTTTTCAAAAAAAAAAAAAAAACCCGGCTTTACTTCCATTTTTCCCCTCCATTTCAACGTATTCCTTGCTCTGAATTCCCCTCCATTTCTTCGCTTCCACCATTGCTTCCCTTCAACTTCCACTCTCACACACCTACACTCCACCATAACCACCATATATAACCACCGTCACTTAACCCCACCACAACAACTAGCAACAACCTGCCAAAAGCCGTTGCACCCACCACCATTGGCGTTGTTGGACTCCACACCCTGCACTGTCGCCGCCTCCACCCGCCGCGACAACCACCACCACAGCAAGCATTTCCTTTGTGGACGCTTTGCTGCTGCTGTTGCTTATTGACGCTGCTAGCCACCACACTCGGCCTCACCACGACCCTTGCTGCTGCGACGTTGCTTGAGGACCCTGCTGCCCTTCTCACCTTCACACCGAAACACCACCACCACAGACATTCCTTCTCTTTGTCCCTCACAAATTAGGGTGAGTTCATGCTTACTTAATCTTACTACCTTATTTACATGTTCTTAACAATTTCCCAAATTTTAGGGTTTCAATATTAGTTAATCATATTTTATGTTAATTATTTTAATAATTATTCGTATACAAAATGTTAATTCTTACCTTAATTGTATAATGTTATAAGTTGTTTGAATTTGAGTAGCTAAAAAGTGATGAATTATTGAATATGGATTGTAAGTGAGCTTAGTTTGCTTGTAGGTAGTCCAATTAGCATTGTATGAATGAATTAACTTGTGTTTTGTTAAATGTCAAACAAATTGAAATTTTTGAATGCTTGCATCATCATTTGCCTAGATACCCGTTCAAGTCTTTCTCATTAGGAGGAAGACTTGAATAGTCCCCGGTTGGGACTGTTCTTGGACGTTTAATCTCACTTAGGTAGTGAATGTATGTCTCTTTTTCGATTTTAAGGAATATCTCGGCCTAGCATTTCGTCTCCATGTTCTCTGGGTGCATATGTAGGTAATTATTTACCTACATTGTGTACTTGGAGAACTAGGGCGAAATGCTGCCGGATTTTCCTGAAAATTGGAAAGTTGACATACATTCACTAGTGAGATTAGACGTTCAAGGATGGGTTAGGTTGGAGTGATAAGGACCTTTTTGGGAGCATTCATTTTTACACTATATGCATTAACGATATAAATACAAACAATGTACTTTGATTATATGTTGCAATTTTACATTATTTAATATGTGTTGGTTTGCGTAAAGGCAATTGAAAACGTTGATGGATCGCGGTTGGATGTATGGTAGACGTGATACGTTGGATTTCTTTAATGGGGTCCAAGAGTTTTGCGAGAGTGCTTCACAATATCAGATCAAAACGGGTGTGAATGACCTTTATTGTCCTTGTGTCAACTGTAATAATGTGACAATGGTCGACAGTGTTGATACAATAAGGGATCATGTGGTATGTCATGGGTTTAGGCCTCAATATCATGTGTGGGTTTGGCACGGTGAACAGGGATCGTATAGGGTGAATGTTGTTGGGAATGATACTCACGATAACAAAGCCGAGATTCGTGCGGAAGATGATTATGGTAGTGATGGTGGTGGAGATGGAGATGAGGATGGGGATGAGATCGAGGACGGTGGTGGTGATCACTTGGATGAGATGATGCATAATGTTGAAGGTGAATTTGGTGACCGATGTGATGTATTTGAGTCGTTATCAGAGGCTGCCAAAAAAGCCTTTGTATCCCGGGTCGAAAAAAATACACCAAACTATCAGCCGTGCTAACACTTTTTAACATTAAGTCAAAGTATAATTGGAGCGACACTAGTTTTACTTCTTTGTTGACTGTGTTATGTGACATGTTGCCTGATGAGAATGAACTTCCTAAGTCGTACTATTATGCAAAGAAACTCATGTGTCCATTTGGTTTGGAGTATAAGAAGATACATGCATGTCCTAATGACTGTGTTCTTTATCGAAATGAATATGAAGAGTTGGAGGAATGTCCACGTTGTGGTCAGTCGCGTTACAAGCGAAAGAACTGCAACGCTGGTATGAAGGGAATTCCTGCCAAAGTGTTATGGTATCTTCCCATCATTCCAAGGTTCAAGCGTCTATTTTCAATACCAAGAGATGCTAAGAACATGAGATGGCATGCAGAGGGAAGAAAGAAAAACGGTTTGCTGAAGCATCCGGCTGACTCTCCGGCTTGGAAGAACATCGATATGAAGTTCAGGGCATTTGGTGATGAAGTGAGAAATTTGAGGCTTGGGTTGTGCACCGATGGTATGAATCCATTTGGCACTCTGAGTACCCAACATAGCACATGGCCGGTACTTTTAGTGATCTACAACTTGCCTCCGTGGTTGTGTATGAAACGAAAATACGTAATGCTGTCTCTTTTAATAACTGGTCCAAGGCAACCTGGACACGACATTGATGTTTTCCTTAAGCCCCTTGTTGATGATTTGAGAAAGATGTGGGACGAAGGAGTTTCTGTTTATGATGCCCATAAGAACGAGATGTTCCTAATGCGTGCAGCCCTGATGTGGACCATTAATGATTTTCCCGCATATGGCAACCTGTCCGGGTATAAGAACAAAGGGCATAAAGCATGTCCTGTTTGTATCGATGACACACCAAACGTGTACCTTGAACACTACGGCAAAGATGTGTACGTGAGGACCCGACGATTTCTTCGGCGCGATCACCCATATCGTAGGCAGAAAAAGGCCTTCAATGGGAAAGTTGAAGAAGGGGTTGCACCTAGGCCAATGAGTGGACATGAGGTGTATGGTCGAGTGAAGGGTATACCAACTGTTTTTGGTAAAACATCGAAACCTTTAGACCCATATGCCTTATTTAAAAAGGAATCGATCTTTTGGAAGCTTGAGTACTGGAAAGAACATGATATTAGACATTGTCTCGATGTGATGCATATAGAGAAGAATGTTTGTGATGCAGTTGTTGGGACAATAATGGGTATTCATGGCAAGACAAAGGATGGGAAGAGCGCCCGATTAGATTTGGAAGCGTGGGGTGTTCGTCCGGAATTGTGGGTGCAGCCAAAGGAAGGGAAGGCAATGGTAATGGAAAAGGTAAGGGAAGATGGTGGCAATAAACGTAAGGGGGAGCGTAAAGGAAAGGGCATCGGTGTATCAAAGAAGAAAGATGAAAAGGTGTATTTACCTCCAGCTTGCTACACATTGTCAAAGGACGAAAAATGGAAGTTCTGTGCTTGTTTGTATGACATTAAGGTTCCCTCTGGTTTCTCGTCAAACATGAAAAGATTCGTTTCCTTGAATGGGGAATTGAAGTTGACTAGTATGAAATCTCATGATTGTCACATGATGATGCAAGTATTCCTACCGATTGCCATTCGTGGTATTTTACCAAAGCACGTGAGAGAAGCTATTACGAGCCTTTGTTCGTTTTTCAACACTATATGCAGCAAAGTGCTCGATCCTTTTACACTTGATGCTCTCCAGGCGAATGTAGTTGTAACATTGTGCAAATTTGAGATGTATTTTCCACCATCATTTTTTGACATCATGGTGCATTTGGTCCTTCATTTGGTTCGTGAGATCAAGATGTGCGGTCCAGTCTTTATGAGGTGGTGCTATCCTTTTGAAAGACACATGGGTACATTACAACATAAAGTCAGGAATCCAGCCCATCCAGAAGGTAGTATGATTCAAGGGATTGTGGCGGAGGAGATTGGTAATTTCGTGGCGGAGTATGTTGCCGTTGCCGAACCAATTGGGCTTCCCACTTCCCGACATGAAGGGAGACTTGATGGTCATGGCACACTCGGGTCGAAACGGATCTCACCTACTCATGATCAGTTCTTGCAAGCTCACTTATTTGTGCTTCATCATGTTGCGGAGGTTCACCCATATTTAGAAGAGCACATGGATAGTTTGCGTGCGGAATTTCCATCAAAAGGGAAAGGGACTAATGCAGTTGCATAATAAGATGTTTGTGACATGGTTCCATGATCGAGTCAATCGTCAATTGGATGAGAGTGTCTCTGATACTATAAAGTGGCTAGCTTATGGTCCAAAGGAAGATGTTTATTCTTTTGAGGGATATGACATTAATGGGTATACATTCTGGACTGAGCATCGTGATCAGAAATCCTCATCGACTCAAAATAGTGGTGTCACGCTTGTGGCTTCATCAACAGAGTTTGCCAGTGCGAAGGATACATCACCGGTTGACGCACAATTATCATACTACGGACGAATTCAGGAAATATGGGAACTAGATTATCGTGAGTTCAAGGTAGGTCTATTTAAATGTAAATGGGTCGATAATATTAGGCGCAACATCAGACACAATGACTTCACTCTTGTAGACCTTGGCCACCTGCGGGATAGTTTGGAACCATTCATCCTTGCATCTCAAGCTAAGCAAGTGTTCTATGTCACCGACCCAGCCGATCCTAAATGGTCCATCGTCCTTGCTAGCAAGAGAAGAATCTTAGGGGTTGGAGATGTCGAAGACGAGGACGAATATGATGCGTTTGATGATTCGCCCCCTTTCACTGCCCCTAGATTTGACGTATCAAATGATGTAGACAAGGATGCAAATTATATTCGAGCAGACCACAATGAGGGAATACTCGAATGAGGTACATTTGTTTTTGCATCGTAATGTCAATCTTCTTTTTTGCCGTTTTGTACATATTTTTCTACCTACGTTCTTGTATTAGCATGAAATCATTACCTTTATCG